TAAAAATGCACAGTGTACAGATTGTATCAAAGCAAACATACAACACAATGAAATACTAAAAATATGAACAACACCTCTTGTACAATATTATGGAGATTATCTCTACATTAATATTTAGGGACCTGCCCTAGTACAAGCTTACAGCAAGTACAAATATCTTTTTACTATCATAGATAATGCTACACAATGAGTAACTATACTACCTATGTAGTATAAAAGTAATACTTTCACAGAATATGTAAAGCATACAACAAGACTCTTTACACAGTATAGTATAAGAGTTAAAACTCTCTAAAGTAATAACAATACAGTGTTCCTAAGTAAAGACTTCACTATGTATATTGAAAGTCAAGGAACAATATGTAGATTAACAGTACACAATACACTGTAGCAGAACAGAGTTGCAGAACATATATATAAGACTATCTTTAACAGTGTACATACATGTCTGTTATCAGTAAAGTTACTTATAAAATTCTGAGTATATACAGTACAATATCAAATGTTTATTCATAACAGAACACTAAGAGTTACTATTAATTTTATAATGCTATATTACAAACAGTATAATGAACATTATCAAATAGATAATATACAAGAATTCAGTACATATTATATCATACAGAACAAACAAATGTATAAACTACAACCTAGAGGCTAATATGTATAATAGCTAGGTTATGATACTGACAGTAAAGGTCACTTAGTGTACTATAATAATAAAGTTACTGTTAAACACAATGTACAATTCATAGACAAACCAATGTCTAGGATTGAAGGGGAGAATAATCATAATAGTAATACATTAAACAATAATAAAACTCTTCCTAATAACAATAATAAAGATAAAGAACCTGTCATACAATGCTCTACACAAGAGTAAAGACTGGTTAAACAAACTATAGGTTTAAATTACAAAGACAATATAAACCTAGTTATGTATCTAACAGAATTTAACAAATTCCTTAACAAAATCTATAACAATCTATTAACATATTACAATACTATAACATGTATAGACAAAGAACAGTAGATCAAAGTTATGAAGGATGAAATACAGTCACTTTAACAACAAAACATATGAATATATACTATCCCCCCTATGAATACAAATATAATTGGAACGAAATTTGTCTATAAAATCAAAAGACTAGCTAACAGCTGAATAGACAAATACAAAGCACAATTTGTAGTGTAAGGATACACTCAAAAGAATGGAATAGACTTCTATTCTAACAACTTATTTGCTCTAGTAACAAAACTATCAATAGTACAATTATTGTTATCTTGGGTAGTATCTAAGAACTATGAAATACATCAGATAGATGTAAAATCTGTATATCTTTACAGAGAACTAAATGAGGACAAACTCATTTATGTGAAACTGCTGCCAGGCAGACTACTTACAGATATTAAACTTAGACAGGTGTTACACTTAAATAAAGTATTATACAGATTGAAACAAGTAAGTAGACAATAGTATAAAAAGATTACTGAACTACTACTCAAGATTAGATTAGAATGAGCTAATTACAATCATACTGTATTTTATAAGAAACAAAATAATAAAACAATTCTTGTAACATTTATACACATCAACAATATTACAATTATTAGTGAAACTATTACTATAATAACAGCATTTAAACATGTATTAAGACAACACATTACATTCACTAACAGTAACAAAATACATTAGTTACTTAGTATTGAAATAAGCTGAGATAGACCTTAACAAATGATTAGCTTATAGTAAAAGTATTATATTGAAAGTATAATCAAGCATTACTACTTCAAAAACAAAAAGGCACTACAAACACTTATTACTCCTAGAATAGATCTATCTAACAATACAAACAATACATACAATATAAACAAAAGTAATAATGAAACAATACTATACATAAATATAGTAGGATTGTTAAGATATGTTGCAGATTGTACACAGCCAGACATATCTTATATTACTGGGCAATTAGTGTGCTACTTACAAAAGCCCTAAATGTATTACTACAAAGTAGTAAAACATTACTTTACATATTTAAAATATACAACAAATTGCTGGCTTCAACTTAGAAGTACAAACATCTTAAAACTATAAGGCTATTATGATACAGACAGACAAATGACAGAAGGACATAAAGTAATAAACAGCTACATCTTTCAATTAGCTAAATTGACTATATTCTGGTTAAGCAAACAGTAAAACCTAGTACTACTATCTGTTTATGAAGCAGAGTTGTAAGTGCTAGTGTATACTACTCAAGAAGCTATTTGGCTCAAACAATTCACTGAAGAAGTACTACAGACTAAATCAGCACCTATTACAATTTATTATAATAATCAAAGTGTAATAAAGACTGTAAAGTCTAACAAAATAATGTACAACACTTGTACTAAACACTTTGATTTATGAAAAGACTTTGTACAATGTTATATTCAAAACAATTATATTAATGTATACTATGTTCAATCACAGAACCAATTAGCAGACATTCTTACAAAAGCTCTCTACATCCTACAGATCAAGCATCTAAACAAACTATTAGGCATACAGTCCTAGTTCTTAATTAATGCTTGAAGGGGAGTATTAGATTGTACTCTGGATTAGGAAATCCCTAATTGCCTTATGTAGAGTTACTGTGCTTAGAATGTCTCAGACTATCAGACTTCACTATGTAGTATATAAGGTAGACACTTGCTTAATGTCTTAATAAGAGAGAGTATCTGGGGCACTCCTACTACACTTGTTAAAACGTACTAATGTTTTCTGTGACCTTGATAAGTAAGAGATGAATTATAAGAGTCATTACCAAGTTCTAACTACTGGTCTAATCCCTCCAGCGATCAATATCGAGAGTTTCGGTGCCTCTAAGTCATCGACCTTCATACAGTATACAGAGTCGAGAGCCTAAGACCGAAAGGAAGATAGTTAATGGAATGGTGAATTTAGATGACACTCGTAGAGGTCACGCAGAGCCAATCCGGATTAATTAGTCTGAGGGTCGGTATAGAATGCTAACATGTATACACAAGCACCCCAGGCTGTCCTATCCATTCCGGCTATAAGTTGAAATTCGAGATCTTAACCAAGATTCAGGTCTCCGCACTTTGTCCGGAGACTTTATGGGATTCGTCAATGGTGCGGAGTAAACATCACCGCACAGCGCCCATGGCGTCCAAGCCCATCGCTCCAGGAAATTGAATGCCGAGGTGTCTGCGGTTCCTAGATTGAGTTGCCTATTTGCTATTCTGGAGGAAGAGCGTAATAGAAAAGTGTGGTGTGTGAATTGTACCTATCTCAATTCCACCTTACTTTGGAATAAGTAGCGATTCTGTATACTAGCAAGGAAGCCACAGGAACAGTCTCTCCGGCTGAGCCGAAGACGTGCTGTTCAATGTAAAGCATCCGTCACAGCGAATTCTATCCCCGAATGGCCGCGAAGAAGCAGCCTACCACTCATGATCTTCTTCAATCCGGACCTGAGTATTTCGCCGAAAGTAAATATGCATGTTCAGATTAGCGATTGTAACATGTCCGGCAGTTTATCGAATATTCAAAGCTAGCAGGCTCTCCAGAAGATGATCGACTAAAACAATATTATTAGAATGTTGGTACTCGACTTCCGTGATAATTTTACTAACTGAGCGACTTTAATTAGCGTATTTATTCGGCGACACATCTACTGTGCCATTTTGAGGCCACTATACTCGAAGACAATCAGAATTGCCTATGGGCCATGAAGCCGAAGCAAGAATCCGGTCGAGTGCAGCACGGAGCGCAGAAGCGTGGGACACGCAGAAGTATCTCTTGACCTTCATAACCTATATGTCTGTTACTACACCAGATGCAATGAAATACCTTTCTGTGGTGGAAAGGAAAGTTGTGGGTTTGATGAATCGAAATTGTCAAAGACGTTATTGAGTTTTACTCAGCAAGTCAGGAAGTCATCCGTTAACGCCACTACGACTTCTTCATGTCGCTTGATAGCCTGTTTACAGTGTGGAAAGCTACGCTTCTCTAGGGTTAGAGCATGAGCTGAACAAGAACCGCGCGTCTTTTGACCCTCCCGAGTCTTTTTTCAGTCAGATTAGTCATCATCTCCTTACATAAACCGTGAGAAATAAGATACTGATATTCTGACTCGCTCGTAAATTTCTAATTGTGGAGGAACTGGTTCTGCCTCTTGGTTCAAATTTCATGACGTCCAGAGTACTCATGCAAACGTCCAAATCACTTATGCAAACGTCAAAAAAGGCTCTGCGCCAAGGAGTCTCCCAAACTCTTCGTGATGTTCCCCAATCCCAAGTGCAACTTCAATGTAAGGAGCCGATATAAAGTATTCACCCACGATCTGACAGTAGCATCTTGTTTATAAAATTAATGATTGCGCAGCAGAGGCCGTCATCCGACATCTCTTCGCCTCGGAGAATTTTAAACGTAGCAAGACAGTCAGCTGTTACCTTAGCATGAAAGGGGAAATCGATACGAGTGAGATTGTCCGCGAAATCCTACGAGCAGGTAGGCAAGACTTGATTTTAATCAGAACGAGGCGTATCTCTTATCACTTGTGATCGCGCACAGGAAAGTCGCTTTTTGTTCCCAAGATCGCCAACCGAAAAGAAAATAGGATGGACTTTCTCCAGGTATACAGCCTAGAGGATCTCGACTCGCTCCCGAGCGGAGTCTGGGGAATCAAGGAACCAGACGCGGAATTTGAAGGACGCAGGAGAGCGAATGGTATGATTTCTTCTTGCAATCGGGCAAAGTTGCTTAAACCCAGCACTTAGTATTTGATAGCAACATTGAGCCCCTGGATATGATTCTAGTACCAGGTAAATATTCTGTTTCCTAATTGTCGGGGACGCAACAACACTGCGCTAAATGCAATTCAAAGGAGTCGCTTTCGATACCAAAATGTCTCGTCTTGGACATGGAAAAGGATACTATGACTATTTTATAAACAATTATACGAGAACCAGACCTAAGCCTGTTTTATGTAAGTCATGTTGTGTTTTGAGAGTACTTTCGGAGTCTTCGGCTGAGCTTTTCTATAGTAGCGCTTTCTCTCCGAGAACAAATTGTGCCTATAGGAGAGATACCTATGGCGGAACACGATCGGAGGATGGACGCTATTGTGACTCCCGACGGGTTGATCCGTAATAAAACCGAGGTGCACCGACAGGTTCCTGAAGTGGGTCGAATAGCAGCGTAGATATGGACTCCGCAGAAGGTCATGCTGCGAATGGCCTTGTCCCTGATAATCCGTCGAGTTCAGCAGAGTCTCGCGTTGAATTACCTGTTTTCTGTGTTAGTATGTGGACTGCTCAACCGTCCATCGATCTGTTGTGGGTATTAGAAATACTAGTATCTTATTGTCGACTTCATGATTGACTGACCACCTCATACGGTTCTTGCATTACCTCCATTGTCGGGTGACTTGCAGACCGCGCAGATGAAGTAAGAACACGAATTACCCTTCATAGGGGAATGTCACGATTCCACAGCAAAAGAGTAAGAAGAGGCTTACGCACCCGGTTCTAGGCGAATTAAGTATAAAGATAAGACGGTGCGACCTGCTCGAAGGTAGATACGAATCACCTGCAACAAGGTCTGAATTAGTTTGGCCGCAAGAAATGTATCACTCACCAAGTTGCGGAACCATGATTGCTTTCTTCGCTGTGTCAAAGTTCGCTGCACCTCCACCTTCGCCAACCATCTTCGTTGCTAATTGCACGGTAACAGCAACCATAAGCTGCTTGGATGCGCAAACTTTGGAGAGCAGTGTCTTTAGTTGTTCCTGTAATGATACTCTTGCTGAGTTAGGGATAGATGTCGTGTGAAAGAGGAAGGAAAGTGTGTTCAGAACGAGTAGTGACGTCTGGGGGTGTGTAAATACAGATTTTTCTTTTCGGTGAGATCATCGACATGCCTTTGGATACTTGTCGAGTATGTCTGAAATATTGTACATGAAGGCCATCAGCTCCGGCAGCGTGAAGCATTTAATATAGTGGATTCGGCTGAGAGCTCCGGGAACATCTGGAAATACGGAGAGCAATCAATCCATAGAGAATTTGAAATTCGATATCCTGCGAGCTACCTTTCAATGCAGACCTCAAGGTAGATGGGATTGTCATGTTTTGTGCATCTAGTTGCGCGTTGTGAGGACGTTTCAACACCACAATAAAACGTAACATGTACCTAAGAATAATACGTTTTCTTCGGCTTTGACTACGCTTCTGATCAGGTCCAGAATAGCAAGGTCTTTCGGGCTTCCAGGAGGACCACTGAATTCGATCACATGCCCTCTGCTCAAGCCACCTCCAAGAAGAGCATTGACAGGTTCAGACAAGGAAAACGACGAGCGAATGCTCTTCAATAAAGAAGTTGCCGGTTGAGTAAGGAGCTCAAACTTTGATCGTGCAGTTTTTAGAATTTCTTCGCATACGAATGCTGGTATGGTTATTTCTAAGGTTCAAGTAAGATGCTGTACACGAGATCGGTGAAATTACATACCCAGAGAGAGCTGCTCAGCCGATAACGTGCCGAGATCGCTGACGTTCTTGAACCCAGCTCGGTTCAGTGCAGATAAACTACTCTCAGAGATAGGTAATGTCGAGAGGGATCGAGAAAACATAACAATTGTAGGAAAGAATCGTTCCGCTGGCCTGAAACGCGTTCAACTTCAAAGTTGGCGTGCAAACTCCGCCTCGGTTTATGCCGATGATATGCATAATTTGAATTACATAACACGCGTCTGTTACATAAATCAGGCGTCTTGACTGAGACGCGTCCTAAGCAGCGGCGACCTCTTTCTACACTCGCGTTCATCTGCTTGAAGACACGAGCATGGCACCGAAATCCCAGGATACCAACGGAGATGGACTTAAGCAAAAGAGCCTCATGGGTTGGTTCGGAAAGCCGAATGCTTCTAGTCAGACTTCGTCTCAGCAGAAATCGCAGAAAATCATATCTTCTCAAACGCAGAGCGCGAATAGAAAGGCAATCGGCGGATCCAATGGAACAGCAGAGAAGGGTGGAAATGTAGCTAAAATGGAGTCTACAATGCGACCACCAAAGCTTGCATCCAGTACACCTGGCACGAGCTCGACCGGTGCTCTAAGCTCGTCTTTTAAGTCATCGTCCGATCCTCCGAACTCAGGTGATACTCTTCCTACCAGTGACGCGATTGACGTGGACATGCAATCTGAAGACGAAGTAAAGGTGTCCAATGCTAAAACTGTGCGTGTTTTGCTTCAGATTGATTATTACTTCAGAAACCGTGCTCATCTCTAGATTCATATTTCGCAAATAGGCAAAGCGGAAAATGTCAATTATTGACTCTGATGATGAGAAAATCAGTAACACTACTCGTTCTGCACAAGCTTCTTCGGAAAAGGATCCTTCCAGCCCAGTTCTCGGTGGTAAATGTCCATTTCCATCATGCTTGAGGATCTTCCTCATTTCTCATATTTTTAGCTCGCTCAAAGAAGCCAAGGGTATCATTGTTTGAGTCGGACGAAGAGGTAGAAGACACTCGGGGAACATTGGGAAAGCGTTTGGCTCGGTTCAGGAAACCGGGTGCGGCGAAAAAGAGTATGTTCTTGTTCAGTAGTGTTACGGGGCGGATGCTGACCTTACAGCGAAGAAACAACAAACGGCTATAACTCGGACTCAGATTTCGCTCCAGCAGAAGAATCAGATGCTGAAGCGCCTCTTACCTCAAATCGCGGTTCTTCGGTTTCTGGGTCTCGCAGCGAGCTCGAGTCCTCTGCAGTGGAGCTAGATTCAGCTGACGAACTCTCAGACGCTCCGAAACCTAAGAAGAAAAGCGGAAAATCCCACAGGCCCGCTTTGAAGAAGATGCAATCAAGTGATGCAGTGCGATCGGGTGGCAGCAGCACCTTTTTGACGGCGGCTGAGCAAAGAGCAAAGGACAAGAAGGAAGAAAAGAAAACGACTGATGATCCATTCGATTTCCTGCGGGATGTCCATGATGTCAGAGATATTTCTCTACGCCGAACGAAGAACTCTATTGCTGATAAGTCTTCATAATAGAAAGACGGAAATAGACCAGGAGAACCTGGATACGACCCCAGGACGTTATATATCCCAAAGTCTGCGTGGAAGACTTTCACTCCCTTTGAGAGACAGGTATGCACTTATATTTACGAAATGAAGGACTGCTGATGTTTATACTCGTATAGTTCTGGGAGGTCAGTTCGTTTCTTTGCATTTAACAAAATTCGTTTACTCACTAGGCAAAAGATCAAAGCAAACCATTATGATACTGTGAGTTAGAATAATACTGCGTTGTGCAAGATACTAACTATGCACCAGGTATTATTCTTCCAGAAGGGGTTCGTGGAGGCTTCATCTACCCCAGTTCCGTTAATCTAAAATATTAAACTCTCGTCATTTAGCAAATTCCTCGAGGTAAATAAGCCAAGTTTCCTCTACGCACTGTCATATTTAATGCAATGCATTCATAGCTGTATGAAGACGATGCAAGGATTGGGCATCGCGAATTTGACCTAAAGCTGACAGATCGAGTAAAAATGTGTATGGTATGTATGCTGTATTCTCGCTTCTTCAAGTGTTCATATAGTTTTAGGTTGGCGTACCTGAGGGCCACTTCAACACTTGGGCAGCGTAAGTCTTGACTACGTATTTTATTTGGACCAACTTAACGCACTACGAACAGAAAATTCCTCGCTAAAGGTACGTGGTAAATGGCTGCGAAGTGTCAGCCAGACTCACTGTTCGCGCAGGGTACAAGGTTGGACGCGTAGACCAAGCGGAGACAGCGCTGGGAGCTGAAATGCGATTGGCGGCTGATAAGAAACTTGACAAGCCAAAGAAAGAAGCTGGTGATAAGATTGTCCGACGGTAAGAAGAAAGTCGAATCAAAAACATGCCCGGTATTTAACTATCTTATTGAAGGGAACTAAACAAAGTTTATACAAATGGAACTCTGGTCGATGCGGAACTTATCGTCGACGATCAAGCTGGACATTGCGTGTCGATCCGCGAGCTCGACCCGGATTCCGACAGGGGTAGCTTTGGCGTTTGCGTCTTGGACTCCTCAACTTCCGAGTTCAACCTAAGCGCATTTGGCGATGACGCGTGTCGGACGAAGCTTGAGACGATGTTAAGGCAGCTTAGGCCAAAGGAGCTCTTATTCACCAAGGTACGGTTTAATCAAGATCGAATGGCGTGCAGTTACTGACAACTATATTAGGGTAATCTTTCTGTATCCACCACACGTCTATTGAAAGCTGTTCTCCCGGGTTCCTGCATCTGGACCGGGCTGCGAGAGGTTGAGGGATTCGGGTTCAAGGAAACGATGGACGAGCTCAAGAATCTCTATCCGGACGGTGAAGACGACATGGAAGAGGGAGCAAACATTCCAGATGCCATCAAAGAAATGTTAACGTCCGAGACGGCGGTGATAGCACTCGGCGCCATGATTTGGTATACCACCATACTTGCTTAGTAATCTTATCTCTGATCGTGCTTTGTGCAGGTATCTGCGACAGCTGAATATCGACAAGGACATACTTAGTATGAAGAACTTCAACATTTACGACCCTATGAAGAGGGGTCAAGGATTGGTGTTGGACGGACAAACACTCGCCCACGTTGAAGTGAGATATTTGCGTTTGATGAGACTGGATGTGTTGAACTGCGATTTACGCGCAAAATTTCATTTAGGTGTTACAAAATAGTGAGGGTACAGATGAAGGTTCTCTCCTTAGGATCCTGCAGCGCTGCATCACTCCGTTCGGTGAGTCTAACAAGCCTGAATATAGGCTCATACCCTAAAGCATTTGATTAGGCAAACGCTTGTTTAGAATTTGGCTTTGCGTGCCCCTCCGAGAAGTCTCCGCGATCAACGCTCGGTAAATAAAATTCATTGTACAAATTACGATGTATCTAATATCTGTTTAGACTTGATGCCGTTCAAGACCTGATCGATCATCCAACCTTCGAGCATGATTTTACTCAACTTGCAAAAGGAATTCCGGATCTCGAGCGTATCGTTTCACGCATCCATGCTAAGAACTGCAAAGTCAATGACTTCCTCAAGGTTCTCTCCGTAAGTAATATAAAAGCAAACATATTCACTATCTAATATTGGTTGGATGAAAAGTCCTTTAAGCGACTTAGCAACGGATTGGAGTCGTTGTCGGAAACTGCAGATACATTTAATTCAAGGGAGATTTCGGGCTTGCTCAGATCAGCACCAAACCTCATCCCGAATATCAAGCACGTCGAGAGTATGTTTTTGCAACCCGAAGGAGGTAAGTTTCTCAGCGATTATCGTGAACGTGATAACTAAGGATTCTTCCATAGGGCCCGATCTCCTGCCGAAGAACGGCAAGGATGAGACATATGATGGTATCGAAGGGGAAATACAAGAAATTGAAGAGTCACTCGATGCAGAGCTGAAAAAACTAGAGAAAAAGCTTGGGTATGAAGTGTCGCAAAATCTTTCCGCTTTATTCCAGTAACGATCGGCCTGTAGATGCAAACTGAGCTACTGGCACAGCGCCACCGGGACAAAGGTACACTTATACTTACTGGAAGATGCTCTCTGTCTCAACAGTTATTTAGGATATTTATCTTGTCGAAACGAAAGCGTCCGTATCGAATGTTCCCAAGAACTGGATTAGGCAAAGCAAAACCAAAGTGCGTTTATCGTTCTTATCTACTTGTCTGTGATATCCGGATCGACTAGGCGCTCTTATTAAGGCTGTATGTCGCTGGCAAGTGCCAGACCTAGCACAAGCGATCCGTCAGTTAAAAGAAGAACGGGAAAGACGAACTGCCGCAATCAAAGACTTCAAATTCCGCGTATTCGCTGAATTTGATAAGGACCGCGATGTCTGGCTACGAGCGATTCGCACGCTTGCTGAGCTCGACTGTCTCTTCAGCCTAGCAAAGAGCTCACTTGCTATTGGAGAGCCAGCCTGTCGCCCAGAATTTGTCGAAGGCGACGGAGCGGGTGCCCTGCTGGACTTTGAAGAGTTACGGCATCCTACTATGTGTTTGAAAGCCGACAACTTCATTCCAAATGACGTGAAACTAGGAGGTGGCGTTGGAAGAGTGGCATTATTAACTGGTCGGTAACCCTAATATTTCTTCGTTGGTCTGCTCTAATTAAAACGTTTTCCAGGTCCTAACATGGGGTAAGGTTACCTTTTGAACACCGTTGTCGAGTACTCATTTTTTTTGTGTAATTGCAGAGGCAAATCAACTGTACGTATTGACCCCTGTATCGACTACTTGCCTATTATTAATATGCTCTAATAGGCGATGCGTATGACCGCGGCAGGAGTCGTAGGTGGCCTTATGTCGTTCCCTGGAATTTCGAACTGAATCCCTTGTACAATTAGATCATGGCGCAACTCGGCATGCTTGTACCCGCCAGGCGCGCTCGGTACGTGATGTGATAGAATCGAAAGATTTGTGCTAATGCGTTCAATAGCATCTCTCCTGTTGATGCAATCTTAACTCGAATGGGTGCATACGATAACATGTTTTCCAATGCGAGCACCTTCAAGGTCGAGTTAGACGAATGGTCAGTTGGTCTCATTAAGAACCCATATGTGAAGGTCATTAACTGCAGTTCTATCCAGCTGTAAAATCCTTCGAGAAGCGACTCCTCGCTCTCTAGTTATTTTGGATGGTAGGTGTTAGAATCATTTTTCACTTCGAGATGACGACTTACGCGGTTACAGAACTTGGTCGTGGGACATCAACCTACGTAAGTCGTTCTTTTAGATATAATATAAGAGGTCCTTGAAATTTACTTCGTTTTTCTCCAGGACGGCATGGCAATTGCCGGGGTTAGTATTCGCCTAAATTCACGCTATTCATCTACTGACCCACGTCCATAGGCTGTCCTTCACCAACTAGCAACGCATACGCTTCCACTTTGCTTTTTTGCGACCCACTATGGATCACTCACAGATGACTTCGCATATCACCCTAATATCCGCAACATGCACATGTCAACCATCATCGACGATGAGAAATGCGAGGTGAGTTGTTCCCTCTGCAAATTATTCGGGCAACTCAATCCCACAAACCATTCTCGTTCCTAGCTTGTTTTCTTGTACAAGCTCGTTGAAGGCGTTGCGGCTTCTTCATTTGGCACGCACGTCGCCAACCTCGCTGGCGTACCAATGGACGTTGTGAAACGCGCTGAAGTCATCTCGACAGACTTTGCGCGTCAGTTCAAAGAGCGTATTGAAGGGAAGCGGACCTCAGTACTCCCGCTTACTGCTCAGGCAGATTTCGCGTATCTGTATCGCCTTGCTGGCGGGAGCAAGGGGCTACCTGAAAACAAGGTAAAGCGAATGGAAGTCCTACGGTGCTTAAAGGGTGCTGTTCCGCGCTATCTACATGCGTCCGCTTGATATCACTAGACTTTCTCGGTCATTTGCTCTCCTGCTTTTTCGCTGTCGTGCTGTCATTGCTATCATTCATAATGCTCAAAGCAATCACCATTTGTTGTGTAAAATAGTCCAATAGCCCACCATATGTATATAATTAGATAAGTAGGCATTGCATGAATGCTCCGTCATAAACGGCTGCAATGCAAAATTACCCTTTCTCTCATTTTACATATACTGCGCAGTAGGGCAGCATCCTCAGATGACTCCGGCAATCTTCTTCAACATGTTAAACTCCTCTTCGCCCTCTGCTTCGCACAAAGAATAGAAGTATGACGAAGGATCAGATAAAAGGGTTCCAGGACGATCATATTCCACAATGCGGCCTTGATCTAGGATCATTACCTGTATTAAGAAGATTTTAGCTTTTTCAACTAAGGTTAAGTGGGCCAGACGCACGCGGCTGTAATCAATAACAGTCCGTAACCGATGTGCAATGGTTAACATGGTCGAGTCGGCAAACTCTCTGAAAGTGGATCATGATTTAGTAATATGTAAGCGATAAGCATTGTCACTCACTGTCTTATGGTTCTCCCAATAAGCCGGTCGGTAGCATAATCGACGCTTTGTGTAGGTAAATAATGAACGACAATATAGCAATATTCGATCCTAAACCTCACCTAGCCGTAGCCTCGTCCATGATGAGTAGTTTTGAGCGCTTAAGAATTGCACGCGCCAAACACAATAACTGCTTTTGTCTGCATCCCTTTGTGATTAGCCCAAGGTTCTAGTTCGAACAAGACTATAACGAACCCAGCAGAGAAGTTCTCTCCACCTTCTGATACAGGTGTGTCCAAGTTGCAAAAGATATTCTCGTTGATCTCGTGAAGCACTGTTTCGCGCGTCGACGGAACTAAGTGCACGCGACGCAAAGCTTCAAACTACATAATGAACGTGTGTTGAATCATCGATACGGGTCCCGAGACATAAACAACGCACAATCTCTGCATCCATATATTCGTCGAAAACATCCAGCGTAGAGCGTAATGTGCCACTGAGAATGATTGGATCCTCTGCAATAGTAATGAACAAGTTGCAGCAATAACTTGCTGGATGCAACATACGAGGGATGATAGTCAACTTGCTCCTAAGATCTGTCAACCCAATCTTTGCGATATCAACTCCATCCACAAGAATTCGTCCTCCACTTGCTTCCACAAAACGGAAGAAAGACAGAGCTAATGTACTCTTTCCACTCCCTACAGATTACGTCAGGTTGACATCCGTAATCCATCCAATGTCAAAGTAGATTAAATACCTGTGCGGCCAAGGATGCCGACTTTTTCGCCTGCATGCACCTTAAAGGTTAGGTTATGTAGGACGGCAGGAAGATCGGGCTAGTCATCATCCGGTTAAACAGATCGTTCTTGTGCAACAATTATGAGGACAAACCGCATATCGAATCACTAAGTTTCTGCAGTCCACGGACCCTAATTCACAGTTACTCAACATTGATCGTACTTAAGGTACATAAACAAATACCTTTTGAGGGCCAAGACTCAGGAGGCCGAGGCGCTATAAATTCGGGTCCCTCCTTGGGCAAATCGGAATACTCTTTCACTCGCTCCACAGCAACCTATAAGATCGGTCAAAACGAGTCTCTGTCGGATGGTAGCTTTATTTACCATGGATTGCTCGAGCTGAACGAAACGTTGCAACTGAAAATCAAGTTAGAAAGAAGACATGGATATATAACAATTTATACCATATGTTGGAGCTACGAATGGGAAGAAGGGTCATCAGACTGTTCACACATGCAGTATAAAACACGTACATCCTGTGTAACTTTCGTGGCAAACACTAGGGTAAATCCTGCAAGGCTCGCATCAATGGAAGGGTCCACAAGAGCAATGACACCGGTCACGCCCGCAAGAACGCTGCTGAGAAGGTTGACGCGTGTAGAAACCCAGCGGTTTACTAGGTGCCAATAGTTATTACCTGCTCATTCCTCAATGCAGTGCATATACATATTTACCTTTCCAGAGCCAGAAGTATGGATTGGCGTTCTGAAAGGTGCGTTAGCTTCGACTTCTTCCAGGATAAACGACGAGACTTACTGCGTTCACACAGTTAAGCATGTCATGCATGAATTTGGATCCAGCACCAAAGGCACGTAACACCGGAACGCCGGATATAGTCTCACTATAGATAGAATACAATGGCGAGCGAGAGACTGAGTCTGAGGATTAAGGACGTTAGCACGTGACAACCGTGAAAAGAATGTCATTGACCAAGTCTCCTCAAATCACGACAACATTTCCCGTAGACCTTTGCAACTGAAGGTGGAAAGTATAAGGCACCAGCGCTAGTGAAGAAAATGATATACCGTGCACATACCATTGTAATAAAAGACACCAAGAATTAATGTAGCGGCAAAGAATCTCGGTCCGCCGACATAGGTTATTGTGGCGATTGCTGCGCAGGCAGTAGTGAAAAAGATAAGAGTATTTCCAAAGTCGTCAGGAAGCGAGCTGTCAATTACTATTGTACACCTCGAGTAAGAACCAGTGCATTGCAAAGTTAGTGTAAACAGACATACCTTCCATGTCTTTTTCAAACCTGTTGAGCAGTCGACCGCGAGAGACAGTATCATGAAACCGTAGTGACGCAAACAACACTGTCTCAAGAAGTTCTGCAGTAGGAGATTAGTATAAAATCCATTAAGGCCGATGGAAGCGCACTCTTGTACAGAGCCCTGGATGCAAAGATCGATCCTCTGTCTACAAAACGTTTGTTAAGGAACGCCGGAAAAACTTATGCCTAATTCCACGCACATAGCACGAACCATCGAAGTGTTGCAAAGACCAATCCTTGCAATGACGTCAAGTCCACCAGCTGCCATGGGATGAAAATGCAACATACCAACAAATGTTATCTACACGGAAGTCAGAATATAGACATTATTTCATCACGCAATAGCTTACTAGAGCATAAATTGAAATATAGTGCATTGGATCTTTAAAATCCTGATGCTTCTCCACTAGACCTGACCAATGGCTACCAAGATATCATCAGCTCGACATCAAGTGCTTGTATTATTCAGTAAACAAACCTCAGCCAGCCGTTTTCCGCTATCGGACTGGCGGCAGCAAGAAGGAATGAAAGAATAAAGATAATCCAATATGACCAATTTCCAATGGAACAGAAATACGCTTTCCAGACTTCTTTGCCAATATGCCCAACCGCACGCTTCTCGTCTTCTACTAACTTGCGAGGTCCCTTCTTTTCTGCCGACCCTGTATCTACGTCCTCCGAAGCAGAGACTTTGGTATGAGCAGTCGCGCCGACCGCTAAGTCCTTGCCATCAGCCATAGGCGTTGAAGGTCCCACAGAGCTCGTCCTCCGCTCGCTCCTTTTTCTATTCCCCTCTTTATTTTCAGATTGCTCCGACTGAAGCAAGCCTGCAGCTACCCCCGACTGTTGAAACTCTTCTGGGGTTCCAGCAAACGAAATCCGACCATTGTCAAGTGCAACAACGTATTTCGCACCAGGCGCGCACAGCTGAATATGATGGGATGCAAGAATAATCGTTCTGCCGTGTGCAAGCTCTCCTTTGAGACATTTGTAGTACAAATGTAACGCCGTGTGAGAATCCACTATAAAGAATGTGAGGTTTCATAAATGCATGTATTTTTATATATTTTGTGTGCAGTAACAAACCTGCTGAGAGAACATCGTCAAGGACCAGGACGGATGCCCGCGAATATATGGCACGAGCAAGGGAAACTGAGGTTTGATTAGCGTGGAAGTTCAACTTGTGGCGCCCAGAATCGCACCTCGTGCTTTCTGTCCTCCAGATAGAGTAATCTAAGGAGCAAGTTTCTATCAGCTGTCAGTTCGAACTAAAACATACGAGTACATACACCTCGTTCACCTATCTCCGATTCGTCTCCGTCTTCAAGAATCGCAAAGTCTTCGATCAAAGCACAGGCCTAGCAACTGAGTAAGCGTGGTTTGGTTGGCTGAAACAAATTCATAAGTCTAACCTCCACTGCCTTCCGATATCTTTCCTCAACGAATGGAAGATTGAAAAGTATGTTTTCTAAACTCGTTACATCAACAAGCCGCGACGACAACTGACAAATGTCTTTCTTACCTCTGATAGTCGCGTTTTGTAGCCAAGTTGTCTGGAAAGCCCATGCTCGTGACTGTCTGATGATGGCATCTAAATGTAATAACTCACCTGCGATACATATGCACAAGTCCCATTGACTATCCAATTTTCTGGAGGAGGGATGATGCCAGAAAATGAGCCTATCGTATTCGGAGGCGATCGAGGACAGCTGACTCTTCCCACAAGAACATCCGCCTCACCCAAAAGGGCTATAGCAAATAGGTTTTAGCTAATACTTTCAACACGAATGAACTGAATAATATACCTTGCAGAAGAAGTGTCTTTCCGGAGCCCAGTTTGCCACAGATGAGCGACATCTCACCGACGGGAAAGTCCAGCGTTATGTCTATGAGTGTAAATATTCGGCGAGGTGTACTGAATGCTGATAGTGCTGCGCTTGACTGGTCTACTCTTTCTTGAGGCCAGGTGACTATTGCCGATCGGAACGCTATAGGGCATTGTAGACCATCAAGGGGATCAACGTGACCCACTTCTGAAGAGCTCAAGTATTCCTCGATGCGTCGGATGGAAACGAAGCTTTGTAATGTTTTGACCATAGTTCCAGGTATTGCATTTAGGGCAAATTTAAGCTTGGAGAAAACTCGTGTAACGAAATTAAGTTAATCGAATGGTTTGCCGAAAACTCAACTGCAACTTACTAGCAATCTAAGAGAGAGGTCAAACTTCCTCATCAAAGAGCTGTCTGTAAAATACGCACCGAAGTGAAAGCAACAGACGGAGTAAGCGGTTGTTGTCGCACGACAGCGAAGTGCCAGAATGACACGAGAGTCACTAATAAAGGCGACAAGTTCCTGCGTTTTTAGCAATTAAATCTAATTCAAAGGATTTGAACTCGGCAGATGTGTACCATATACTGACGAATATCATCTGATCATCCGAGTCAGAAAATCGGTAAGCTTAAAAGAGATAGTAAATACCTGAAGAATGTAGTTTAGCTGCTGATACTTCAACTCGCGTTCGCGTATTTTCAGTATCCGAGCTTCAAAGCTACGTTCCCAAGCCATGAACTACCAAATATCAGTAAACCAGCTGAAGAGAGTTGTAGTCCTTCACAAAAATACCTTCAGCATCCTAATTGCTCCGAGTGCCTGAAAAATACTCGTCAAGCGGCTACCTTCTATGCATAGCAAAACTTACTTCATTCATCAGTGAGACCCGTTCATCACGCGTTCTCATCAGATTCTCCTGAATGCGTACGACGAATTTTCCCGTATAATTATTCATTGGTAAGAATAAGCAGGTGACTGCCAACCCGAAGAAACAAGAAACGCCTTTAATTGGACGTTAATGATGACGAGGCTATGGCACAGTCGGCCGATAAATCGAATACACACCCATGAGCTGATAAAGGAATGCCGTCCCGACTGCGATTTCAATCGGCCCATCTAGAATGCGTATGAGCACCATTGAGGACAAGAGTTTCGAATATGTATTCACCAATTAATGTATAGAAGTGCCACACGAACTCCGCAACCCGGTCAACGTCAATAGTCATGAGGTTCATAATTTGTACCTTGCTGGAAAACTCTTCTCCTGCGCCAGACGTGTTGCGTTTAAAACTCGCATCTAACTCCTTGTCCAAACCTATTCCCGTGGACACAACATCTTTACGGCGAAGGGTTTTCGCGAAGAGCAGAGAGTTCAATTGGATACGGATTTTTATCTGAAGGTCCGTCAACGCTAATGACCACAGTCTTTCGGTCACCAAGGCCAATAAAACACTCGATGCGAACAGACCAGCACAATAAACCCAACCCTGCTGGGGATCTTGACGCGAAGTGTCGGTTTCCAAATAGGCAACAAGACGTTCAAGGAAGAACATGGGCCCGTAAAACAGAACCGATACGACGAGTATCAGTGAGATCAAGTACGAGAGCTTTCTTGTATTGGCTCGTAATAACTGATACGCTAGCTGCCAGCCGGATCCTGGACGAGCCGTCCGAATGCGATAACGACGGCAGACAGCCTTCATTTGTGCAAAAATTGTAGCAGCACGCATGTCTGCTGACAAGAGTGGGAGGTCCCCAATTTCCAGGTTCTGAGACAAGTAACCAAGCTTGACAATCCGGGTCGTGTATGAAAAGAGAATAGCTTCCCACGACGATGAATTCACATCATCGCAAACGTTTTTGTCCATAACCTCCCCAGGCTCGTCAGCATGTTTGATAATCTTGTTTGGATAAACGAGTTCAGGCGAGAAGTGCATTGCAGGGCCACGTTTCATACGCACAGACAGCCAAAACATTATCAGCCAGAGTGTGAGTGCGATATACCATCCGATTCGTCGAGGCCGTTCCCAAGCAAGTTGAGGAAGTAATATTGTTGCCGTCATGAACAGCACGAAAGCCGTTGTGGAGAGAAGGGCAAGATGAACAGTGATGCGACGATGCCAATACTGGTCGGAAAGCTTGATGCTTGCGACCGTCAAAATAAATGTATGCACTGAAAATGCAACATGGAGGGCACCCGATGCCACGTCTCTACTGTTTTTGTGGGTAGTAAGGGACCATACAAATACGCCAGTCTGTACAGCCAACAAAGCTGCCGCAGTCCATGACAGCGCAAGTTTTCGCAATCGGATCTGATAAGACAAGTGAGATAGTCTTAGATCCCTTCGTGAAAACATCGATTACCTTGGCCCAAAAGCGCTTCTCATCCACGGGATAGCCGTCAATCACCTCCTCCGGACCCGTAACATGAAATGGATCGGTGGTCTCCACACTGCCGCCAAGTACATCGTCGTCATCATCCGATAGTAGTTGAATCTGCCCTTCTTTTGGACGAGTTTGCAGCAAAAATGTAATCGTGCTTATCACAGCGCAACAGCAGAGTGCGATGCCAACCTCAAGATGTAGAGCGAACATCCAAAGGTGCCTCGTTCGGATGAAGTGGTGGATGATTCCTTCCTTATCTACCGCGGTTCTTCTGCTACACTACCCGTGTTAACGGAGACTCGTGTACTCATGGCCAAGAGGTTTCCATTTAGTAAACCGGGTTGTGGCGAACGCAACTCCAGTGTGTAATGCGCGGCCTGAAGTCCTCGGCGTTACCTGCTGCAAAAGGTGATGGAAGCAGTCGCCACTCGAACATCTCAATCAGATAAGATTAGATATAATTGGCACAGGAAGTCTGAAGATATCTCATGGATTGTGAAGCCAAGGCAAAAAAAAAAAGAGACAGACAGCAACGCTATCTCCTACAAGTCTTACATACCGTACGCGTACTGGTTTGAGGTAAACCACGTGACCGATAATGCTATTACACATATGCATCTTATCATGATGACTACGGAGGTAAAGTGACTAAAGTCTATTCATTTGTCCTGAAATAGCCAAGCAAACAACATGAACTCCACGCTACTGGTAAACCGTTTCATTAGTTAGTAATGAGAATAGATTCCTTAAGTTTCCTCAGCCTGTCCCGGTGGCGGAACTGTCCGTGGTCGTGGCGTTACCAGCCCAATAATAAGGGGAAAGCTTGGGCAGCCTTGGGGCTGGAGAAGGTCCTGTGAAATACGCAAACGTGGGCTTTCTCCTCTGCGATGAGTGTGGAAAGCATGATGCTTACAAGTTGAGACCGAGGCTGATCGAGCCAACGACACCTCCAGTTATATCGTTCTCGTCCTTATAAGCTATGTCCACGTTGGCCGTGTAGCCTTCTGCCTAGTATAGGACGCACTCAGCCGATTGAAGAACAGAAATTTGGGGATCAGGTACATTCTGATAAAAGTACCAGAAATCATCTGCATTGTAGACGCGAGTGACCGTGTTGGTGTTGTATCATTGGTGTCGTATTCCCGACTTTCGCAATGAAGTCATCTACAAAGAAAAATTGACCGGTGCTATGCACCCAAGCAATGATTATTATAAGTGGGAGGACGCATGGCATGGTCTGAATGACATGAAACCTACTGGACGGCGCTCCCAGCGATAAACGTCCCGTTGTCGGCAACCGAACCATTTCCCCCAGTGTACACCTTGATGTGAAAATGCACGGAGCGACCAAAATACCAACCAGGAACAATGGAATACATCGTCAACTCGCCGTTGCTATCAGCTTGCTATATGCCACGTAGGAAATTCTATGCATATCGTCATTTGCACTTGAGTAGGCAAGACCCCAAACTCACAAGTGAGATAAGACATACGTCATTGTCTCCTGGTTGGGAGATAGGTATCGTGCTGTTGTTCGGATCGTCCTCATCCACATATGCACTTGTTCCTGTTGTAGCGGGGATCAGTGGAAGACCTTGTCCAGTGTGGCAGTGCCAGCATTCATCTCAGCTAAGATTGCATCATAACCAGAGCTAATTCAAGTAATATAAGTATGAGTATATCTTCGAATAATCAGAGCATCCCACTCACTAGGTGCCAATAGCATTGCTCAATCTACCCAAATATTCTAGATTTCATTAGTGAAACATTTCATTAGGGATCCGAATCGTACCGTACAGTACGGTTACGACCCGTTTCGGTCACGGTACGATCTGTACTCGTACCGGACTTTGAGACACCAAATACGGCTCGTATAAAACGGGCCGTATCCCGTATCCTATTAGGCCAAATACGGCCGTATACGGCCGTATACAGAGTACGGACATCCAAAGAAGATTTTCAGTATTAATAACATGTGTAGCACAATTTATAACTATTTCTTCTCTTTGTATACCTTATAATATACCTTTTATACATAAAAACACCAAATTTAGCTAATCTTGGTGTCAATGTATTAATATTATATTATTTATCTTCTCAAAATAGTTAGTCATGTGACTATCTTTTATTACTTCATACAAATTATATTTCAGATTTACTGAATATATTGATGAAAATGGGCATAACAAGTGCTAATTTGATAGGGACATACATATAAAGTAATAATAGGCCTTTTTAACAATTTTAAAGTATATTAATTATTTCTTTCTATTAATATAATATTAAATTTGTATTTACAAGTGTATTACCATATACAGCTGTATACAGTACACACTGTAGCTGTACTTGTGTCCTAGAACTCAAAAAACAGTTGTATTTTTACAACCATACTCTGTACAGGCCTGTACAGAGTATAGTTGTACCTGTATACAGTATGCTCAGATCCCTACATTTCATTCACAATATATTTGTAAACATATTTACAGGAACTGGCTCACATGTGTTAATGTCAAAGAAGTCAACATTAAGCTCAAGAAGAATACCCTCTACAAAGGCACATGAGTAAGAATGATGTTACAATACTCTGAAAAACTATATACTGTCCCTGTATAATATCCTGGCACACAAGTTTGCCTAGGATGTAATACAGTTCCTGTTATAGTTCTCCACTCTTGTACCTTCAGTTCTAAGGGTTCTACACCCTTCTGTACTAGAACTCAGAACTTCTGTCCCTCAGGAGCACCATTTATAGACTATATGTATGCTAACTCTTACTACTACCCCTCCTTACTTCATCATTCCATTCCTTTGACCACCCTTTCATTCTTTGTTCATTCTATAGTCTCTTACCCTTTGTCCATCCCTTTATTCTTTGTACCTTTATCTTTGACCTTCCTTTCTTTCATTCTTTGTAGCTTATCATTCTTAGTAGCTTATACTCCCTGAGTACTCTTGTGTAGTTTAGTATATATAGGTGTACAAGATTAGACTGGTCCTGTAGTCTTAATCTTATCTACTCCAGATAGTCCTGTACTCTTAGGCTTACTCTATATACTCTACTCTTGTCTTACTCTCTCTCTCTGTCTGTTCTACAAGTTCTGACTATGTTTTAGTACTTACATTCTGTATTTCTGTTGTGTAGGATAGTTGTAGCCTGAGTCCCCTCACTAAGCCTTCAGGTCCCCTCTACACTGTTACTAACATTAGATCAAAACTACCTATTACTACTCTACAACTCTTCTACATTTCAGGCATTAGTACTCACTGTTGTGTCAATCTCTTTACATTGTCCTAACCCTTTTACATTTTTAAATTTTAAACTTTATAAACCCTTTTAAACTTTTACTACCCTTCTTCTATTTATTACCCCTTTTAGTTTAGTGTTGATTCCTTTACAGTGTAAACATAGACCCTCCTACACTAACTACTACTCCTACTGTCCTACTAGATTAGTAGTTGTGAGCAGACCTAGCTTAATATGTATAGACCTCTATCTAAGAGGCCTTTACTAACTACATACTCTTAGCCCCTCAGAACCTGTTCTGATTGTTTTAGAAGTTGTAACCTGTTCTAGAAAGAAAGTACATGTAGCCTACCCTTCAGACTTTAATAGACAGTACTTTAAGGACTTCTAACACTAAGTCAAACTATACATAGCTGCCACTTTAACTAATCTATCCTTAGATCTTAATTGTGTCCTATTTGTCCTCTCCTTTATAAAGGAAGGCAACACAGCTACCTAGGCCCAGAACTGGATTGAAGGACATTAGATTAGAAGCCTAATCTGACTTTAGAACAACAAGTCATATTTAGAATTTATAGGGCAGCTCTGTACTTCCTTCATTAATCTGAATAAGAAGTACAATGTATAGAACAAGCTTACATCTCTGTAACAGGGCAAACATTCTATCAATACCTTCTTCTAAGAGTTTGATATCTTAGTCCAGAAGGTAGGATTTGTACTTAAGTTTAATAATGTCCTTATTAGAATACTTGAAAAAGCTCTCTACCCAGAACTAGTCAATAAGATTCTTAGAATGATACTAGAACTGATTACTTACACTAAGTAGAAGACACACACTATTTCCTTCAATCAAACTGTAACTCAGATGTATTAAGTCTATACAGAATACCTACACATGTGTCTAACTCTGACAGTTCTAAGCCCTCAGATCAATCTGTCTATAATTCACAATCAATCTATTCTAATAAACATTAGAGAAGCCTGAAAGTAAGGAGTATACTTTATCTATAGAAAGTTAGAGTACTAAATTAAGAATTGCCTGTAAAAGTAACAGTATATTTGTCAGGTTATTAGAGTAATAATGAGTGACAAGTAGGATTTGTAGTAAGAAGCCTTTTCTACAAATCCAGAAGTCACCTTAAAAACTTCTAGACTCTAACTATATACTCTAGGATTTTGTAAAGGCTCAACAGTAAATACAGTACTAAAGAGTTATGACTCAGATTTTTTAACAGCTACTTTTGATTTAATAGACACTGTAGGATTAGAAGTAAATAAAGTAAGAAAAGTAGAAAAAGTAGAAAAAGTAAATTAACAAAATTATTTATTAAAAAGAAAAAAGTTGAAAACAAAAGTAGATAGTACTCTTATTCCTTCTGATTCTTTTGATCCTTCTCTTCACACTTTATCCAAGTCTAAATTCATACAATCTAACCTGCTACTTTTGTGTTCTAAGAACTTAGAACATTCAGAACACTATCTAGCCTTGTTTACTACTTAGTAGTTTGTTTATAGTATTAAGTAGGGATAGTCTTAGCTGAGTTTACAGCTAAGAACATGAGTCTGTCCTTGTTGAAAGAGAGAGGTTAATAAGGAAATGTTAGTACATATACTTACCCTCTTAGACAACAAGGTTATACAAGCTGTATATTCCCTTTAGAACAAGTAGTAATTTATTAGAGGATACTCTAGACACTAACTCTAAGTTCCTGTCCTCTTGGCTCCCTTCTTAGAATCCTCTCAGATCTGAATAATAACTCTAGTAGATAGTAAATGTACTAGTTTATACATTAATAAGACCTTTGTGTAAGAACACTATCTTCCTACTTAATGTGTTCTACTTCTAATCCTAGTATATAATATGGACAGAACTATGAATCAGAATAGTTGGATCACTAAGTTTGTCTAACTACAGATGACTATTTAGGATTATAAGGAAAGTATTAAGTTCAGAGTTACTAACCTTAGAAAGACAGACATCTTTATTGGATTCAAATGGCTTAAGGCTTACAACCCTACTATTAACTAGTTAGAGTAAACACTCACATTTAATTAGTGTTCTGAGTCTTACAGTTATCTTATACTACTGTCCTAAGTAGATACAAACACTTCTAATATTACTAACAGTTCTGATAAAAGTGACCAGTTGTTCTTCTTTAACTAGGATAAATATGTAGACACATATTCTAGTTAAGGTAGAACAGAGTCAATCTAAAGGATGTCTAAGACAGAACTAGTTTAAAACCCTCTTAGAACAACTCTACTCTAGAATACACATAGACTTAGCCTACTGGATTTTGTCTAAGAGTTTCCTAAAGTCTTTAGTAAAGAGGAAACTGACTAGCTTCCTAAACACTATCTCTAGAACTATACAATTGAATTGACTAAGGGTTTCCAACCTAAGGATTGTAAGGTCTACCTACTTAACAGAGACAAGTAGGAGGTGCTTGACAAGTTCCTTCAGGAAAATCTTTGGAACAGCTGGATCTGACTCTTAAAGTCCCTTATAGCCTCCTCTTTCTTCTTTGTTAAAAAGAAAGATAGGAAGCTCTACCCAGTCTAGAATTATTGTTGTCTTAATAAAGGTACTGTTAAAAACAAGTACCTACTCCCTCTAATTCAGGAGCTTATTGACAAAACACATACATCTAAGGTTTTTACTAAGTTGGATGTTTAATAAGGATACAATAATATTTGGATCTAAGACAGAGATGAGTAGAAGACTGTATTCTAAACTAATTACAGATTGTACAAACTAATTATAATGTTCTTCAGACTAACTAACTTACTCACAACATTCTAGTCATTCATAAATTACATTCTTACAGATCTGATTAACTTAGAGTATGTTAGTATGTATCTGAACAACATTCTGATCTTTACTCAGACAGTCAAGCATTATTACTAACTAATCTGAGTAGTTCTATAACAGCTCTAGGATAATAAACTGTTCCTCTAAAAAGTAAAGTGTTCTTTTACACAGGAGTCAGTAGATTATCTGAGCTTTATAATTAGTAGAGGAGAGGTCTGTATAGATCCAGCAAAGGTAACTGTAGTTTAGAACTAGTTACAACCTTAGAACCTGAAACAGGTCTAAGTATTCCTTAAGTTTGCAAACTACTACTAATACTTTAT